TCGGAATAATTTTTTCATGGGGGGACAGGGATCTTGACACACCTTTAGTAGGACTATCGATTGCAAATAGTCAAATCCTCCCAGCTTTAAGTCGTGTATAAAGTGGGCGGACCTGTGCGGAAGTACCTATCTCTAATTTTCTAGATCCGTCACTAGATTAGACTCCAAGCTTCTCCTAATTCCTTCATCACCAGCAAGAGCAATATTTTTATTTATATTTATTGTCATATTACAAAGGTTTACCGAGTGGTCCAAGTACTTGATTACTTAGTAAGTATTTGAAAATTGGCACACATTTTTGAAATCGCTTGATTCTAGTGGCGTAATCAGGATTTTGTTAGTAGGAGGGGACATGTTTTCGTATGTGCTCTTTTCCAGAGCGTGATCTTCAAACTTTCAAAGTATGTGTTCACTGGTTTTTCAGAGATTTAGTCTCTCGAAAAGCAGTTCGAGCATACTTCGATCCATCTGGAAAGAGCGTATACGGAAACCTATAAAAGAGCGCTTAGAGACATACGTACCACTTTTCTAGCACGTGTCTACGTGCCGAGTCAAAATTGCTGCGTCGATACACTGAAACCGTCGTATTACACTGGGTACACTGTTCTTGGACCGAGAAAAATGAAAATTACGCGAAAGCCCAGGGTATTCTGGAGACCCTAGCGTGGGATTTAGGAGCACTTGTGCATGTTTGTGCTAACCGTGAGGATAGATGACATATGGGGCGAACATCTTGGCAAATTTTGACGCAATTTGAATTAGGGATGTGAGTGGGCCTCTCATTTTGCTGAAAACGGCTTTTCGGATAACACTATGGCAAAGAAAAATTATTTTTCCTATGTCAAAAGGTCAAAAGAAAATTTTTTTTACCAACCGATAGAGAAAAAGATCTAGTTTCCGAATATGTGCGACATTTTTAATTGGCTCTACTGGTTTCGAAAATACAGGCTTGTATTTTTGCACAGCCAAGCTTTTCTCTAAAATATTTTCTTATATGTTTTCTAACTGACTATGAAATTTGGAACAAAAAGTTTTTTGCCATTAGGTAGCCTATATATCAAACTATATTTATCACTAATTGAATGTTGAAATAGTGTACTTTTATTTTTCAACCTAATGTCCACTTGGTTGCCCTCCGTGAGAAGGCAGGGAGAGGCGATGAGTGACTACGCTACGACTTGATTCTTTTACTATGTAGTACTTTACGGAAGCACTTTTAATTTTACTCGACAAGTACTTGGACAAATACTTATTAAGAAGTGAGGGGAGTGCTTACAACCAAATTTACTTCTAGAAAAAAAGGTGAACAACGGCTTCATTACGCAAGCGAAGTACCCAAGGAACCCAAGTGTATTCATTAGGGTTTACTTTTTAACAGTGTAATTACCCTGAAAAAGCTGAAATAGCCGTATAATAATTGGCCTGTAATTATTATTATCTCAAGGGACTCTATATATTCTGTGTATATAAACACATTTACGATGAGTACAGAGTTTTGTGCTTAACTTCTGCGTCTAATTTATCTGAACTGAAACAAGCTGCGTAAAGTAAATTTTTCTGAAACCAAATTGCAAAATAACATGATATAATACTTCACTATTAATCACGCTGGCGTTCGTACTTTACCGCTCTGGTGCTATACTATTCCAACTACCCTTTATGTTTCTAAAAGTGTATTTATAGAATAAAGAAAATTCGACACCCGGAGGTCATCAAATCAGGAGGGGTTAAATCAGAATCGGAGCCAAAGAGTTTTATAGCAGAGAGTGCGGGTCGTGGATATTACTGATCAATAAATGATTTTTGCACAGAAAATTCGGATTTTGTAAAAGTACAATTTTAAAACCGAGTATATAGTCTTGCACTTCACACATTGCATGAATACGTAACGTTTTTTCTTTTCAGAGACTCATTGTTTGAATTTTTACGATTGACCATCTCAAAACGGTACAGATGCTACCATCGCATCATAAAACGTTTCACAGTCTATTAGCAGAAGTCTAAAATTTGAATTTTGATTTTGGTTTATTTTGAGAGAGAACAATTGTACGACCGATTAGTTTTTCCGCGTCAGCGAAACGTCATAAAAAGCAGATGATGCTGTAGTACCCCACTCCGTAAAATATTGTCGAACCTGTTCTCATTATTTGGAGAAAATATTTTTTAAACACTTTTTATTTCTTATTTTGAATGAGCGTTACGACAACTGCTTGTCTCTATGTGGGATTCCTAACGTCATACCAACATCGGATATTGACATACAACATTCTCCTCGTTAATTTATTATAAGTTACATGTAATCCAAACTGTTTTCTTATATTTCTGCAAATAAACAACATTTGAATGTTAATCTCACTTTTTCGTTACCATGTCATTATGTATTTGCTCCTTATTATGGTATGTATGTCTTTCTTGTTTACTTATTTATTTATCGTTTTCACTACCTTTCACCATTAGAGTATGTTTTTAGTTTTGATATGTTATTATTTTTTAACACAGACCATAAGCTTGGGACTCGATTTCCTGTCAATCATCTGTTTATTGTTGTATACCCATGCATCATCATAACCATTAGCAAATATAGACAGCTTACTATAGACAATTAGAGGCTAACTGTGATGTTAAGTATTGTTATTTTTCTAACTTAATATCGTTGCGAATCTGAAAAACGAAATAGATTGTATTACAATATATTTATAAAAGATAAAATTTAATTCATTTGAATACAAGTTATTATTAAAACACAATTATATAGCATAATAAAAAAATAGTATGTTGAACTATCAGTGCCTTATTTTAAAATAAAAATGAAAAATAAATATTAAAACTAATAAACTATTGCACTTTGATGCTAGAATGGGTGTCCTTAGAAAGAGAAAACAAAGTTTGATAAAACAAGTATCGGTAAAAAAATGGATTTACCTTTTATCGCTTACACTTAGTCGTCATCACCTGTCGGACTTATCACTATTCTTTTCTACATGAAACGAGCATATTTTTGTTATCCTTCTGTATTAATTATGAGAACTACGTGTTGTTGTTGTTGTTGTTGACTTGGTGCTCCTTTATTTTTCTTCTGCACAACTGTACTTTGTTGTCGAATTAAATTCATTCGAATTTCTCTGCTAACTTTCGTTCGTTCAGATTTTGTACGAAAAATATTTAAAAATTTCATTCGAAAATAATATTGAAAATGATGATCAAATAAACGTAAAATTTCAGAGCGAAACGTTTTTCCACTTAGACAATACACATAAAAGTTTAGCGAGCAATTAGCTAAAATGACAACAGATACCTGATTTGAAAGTAAAGCATTATTTGTAAATAAATGTACGATTGTATGTGTTAATGACGAAAAACAAAAGAGACAACTATGTAGAATGAGTACCATGTTCATCCATGATGTTTTTGGACGATTATGTGCAACGCATTTGTCAAAGCTATTATTATTGATATTATCTTGAGTAGATCGTCTAGCTGATGATAAATATTTTGAATCGGCCATCATAGCTGATTTCGGTGAACGATTGCCAATGACTGAAAAACTGGTCCTTAGTTGAAATGTTGCTTCAATGACGCGCAAAATAATACCAATATTGAATAGAGTTACCAAGATCGATGGAATGATTTCAGAAAATATCGAACGTAACGTATGATAATTAAAACTAAATGTGACATCGTTTAAGTATAAAATCCATAAATGAGAGACGCCAGGTTTTAAAGTACATAATAGAAATTTTTGAGAATTGTTAGTACCATAAGATTGCTGACGAGATAAATGTTCAAAAATCGCAGGATTTACTGTTCTGTTTACTGAATCATCTACAGTATATCTAAAGAAAAAATAACTTTTGCCATTAAAAACATACAGTTTTATGTATATATTGATTATCAACCTATCATAGATCTATTAAGGGCAACAGATACGAAGCTACTTTTCTATTCATAACTTTAAAACAACATCTTCTATTAGCGATATTTATCGTTTAGACGATGTCTTCGTAACAGAGTCTAATTATTTGATATTAACGTTAGAATATACGGCAATGATGTAAAAGAGACCGATTTCTATTTGGGCTTTTAATTTTTGTCTCATCAAGAATATCGACTAACAAGCTTCTAGAAGATTCATGATAGATTTTTTAGATTTTAAAGTATGTATCATATCGAAATGAAGGACAAATTAAAGAAAACCGGACATAGTCTGAATTACAATATAGCAGGTCACAAACTGGACTTATAGAAAACTGTTTTGCAAAAGTAATTTTAAAATCAATAATATCACTCCTAGCTGTGCATAAAGTTCTTCCATTTTCTATAATTAATGCAATTCACCTCTCAGACTATTTTTGCAATCGACTTATGCCCTATTATTTTATATATTCAAAAATATTTCTTTCAGCTCTACAAGATTCTTATAATCTTGACAAGACGTTATATTAGTCATTCAACGTATAAAGTCGAACATTTTATCCATAATGAGTTGATACCTTTGATCTGGTGTAAATAACGTTATATTATCTTTGATAGAGACCATTTCATTGAATTCCATTTGCTCTTCTTGTCGATAATATTTTATTACATATCGTGATTCGTACAAGTGAACTGTCGGTCCTGTTATTAATAAAATAATTATGCATGCTATACCCGCCATACCGTAATATTTATATCGTTTACAACAACCTCTATTTAAACAACATTGTAAAATTCGTGTAATATAAGAAAATCGATCGTATGTCCAAAATACGGTAATCCATGCTGCTAAAATTCTTAGACATGATGAAAAACGATACAATTTACAATTAAACCATGTTTGACCAACAACGTATGATATCCAACGACGAGTCACGGAGTGTAATAATATAGAGTAACGAAAAACACATAATAAATTAATAAATAACGATGCTAAAGCTAAACGTCCGTATGTTGTACGTCGAAATTTTCTTGAGGAGAAAACAATAATTCCAATAATATTACCGATTACTCCTAATATAAACATTGTTATACATATACAATCGATAAAATTTGTTACAGACATTCGAAACACGATAATTAATGGTTAAACAAAGAAACTAAAATAAGGAACAATATACCCTGAGTATTTTTCTTTTTTCTTCTATTCCGTGTTGATCTATTCACTTTATTTTTCACTGAAGATTCGTCATTTAGTTGAGTACAAAAAAAACATACTCAAAGCTTTGTTATAAAATGTAAACATGGAAGGTACTACAAAGCTTCAAATTGGCCCAATAACTTGAAGATTTTCTCATAAAGATCAGTTGTACTAAACATTAAAAGATACCAGAATCAATTTTTGTGTACTTTCACGTGAAAAATTTTTTAACGATGATTTGTTTCAAACAGAAAAAAATGGAAAAATTTCTTTTATGAGCTTTTGATGTGCAATATTTCTACCTACAGCTTAACGATAAATAAAGAAGGGCTAAAACGTCGGCAATTAATCCTTTTTCTATCTTGAAGAGCTAAAAAAGAATAAAATGAAATAAAACCGTAATGAAAAATATTTTTGAATTAAATGGCGAAAACATGAGGTTGAAGAGGTTGACGAAAGAGAGAAGAACCGGAAACTACTAAGTATCATTTCTTTTGTGTATCACAGCATAACATGAATAAATGATGAAAATGTTTAATGGCGCTTGGGTTAATTCAAACACGTTGACATCAATGATCTCCTACGTTGTACCTACACGATCTGAACATACTCCTACAAAGACTGCTAAAAATTTAAAGAAAAATAGAATTTTTTTTTTTTCAATATTAAACGCTTTTTCATTGTAGTTATTATTCTTCCAACAATAACTCATATGTTAATACTGAGTTTTTCTTCAAATATAAATAATAATCTCTCTTTCGATATTTTTTTACTTAGGCTTTCAGTACGAAAAGCATATGTATATTTTGTATATAGCTTTAGGAATGGTTATTTAATATGATCTGATGTTATCAGGGGCAACAATATTCCTTATTTTCATAAGAAATTGCTTTTCTACATTTGTCTAAAAGCAGAACCCGATGAATATTTACACTTTTCTTTAAATGAGATTTTCTATCGTCTACAGTAATTTTAAGCCAATATGAGCTTTTTAACGCATCACAAATAATACGTTTAAACCTTTTTCAATAGAAAAAAAGAATTTATGAAATGTTGGTCATAGTCGAGGAATTTTCTTCATGTCAGTGCTAAAGGCCATCATACTTTATGAACTTGCATGAATGTCGATCAGATAATCAAGTAAAATAGTAAATAAACACGGACTGTTTGAATTACTAACTCTCATCTATTAAAATTATATAAAATAGACAGTTTTAACCTCGATCTTTAGAAATATTACAAGAACAATACAAATAACTGTAAAAAGTTTTATTCATCTTAAGGCTCTTCTCCGGATAATAAATCTATCTCAGCAATTGTAAGTCCTATCTGAACCAGACTTTTAGGAAATATTGACCATGTTGAAGAATAATTATGATAAAACTTCTGAGAGTCTCTCTACTTTCGTTTGATAGATGCCGTCTAAATAAGGATCGAATTGCGGTATATACCATCCGACAGATTTCTCCTCTCAGAAAGTTACGGTGACAACGTAAGAGAATGGATTTTTTTCAATTTTTTCGTTGTTTTATTTTCTGAAAGGTCTTATTTCAGACGTTAAAAAATAACGAAGAAACGGGTGTATAACTTTCAACAATGCAAAAGAATTATGATTTAAATAAAAAATCGGGTTCTTTTACGTTCCCATATGTCATAATTTTAATAAAATAAAAATGAGACCGTTCTGACGTTTGAGTACGGCGAAATCTGCTGAACGATAACTTTCGACTAGCAAAAGAGCATTTTCGAGAAAAACGCAAAATGTTCTTTTTTTCTGAATATGACTTCTCTTTTGTTTTAAAAATTGACAGAGGAGGTTCTGATACGCATATGTTCACACACGTGTCGTATATGTATGTTTTTTTCACAATACCATTTTTTTAACCTATAAAGTATGTGATATGCGTATTTTCACAGAGCTTTCAGAAAACTTTGTGAAAAAACACTAGCATACGGTTTTTAGCGGATAAATATTAGTGCATTTAAAGAGGACATTTGAATCTATACTTTCCTTGCATTTTTCTCAATATCGATGTTTTTGACAAAAATCTTTATTTCTGATCTGTAGCGGGCCGAGCCATAATCAGTAGAACTGACTCAGATTTAAGATGTAAGTGTATAGAAAGAATATCACATGATTCCTATTGTTTCTGCTTTAAAATGTGTGAGATGTAGCCAGATGATGACATAGAAATGTACAGAAAATATTCCAAATTAGAATCAATTGTACTAGAAAATGATAGATGTTAATAAATTTTTTCGATATCAATTGTGCAAGAAGTTTGAAATTATTTAAATTTACGCTTGAAGATTAAAACAATCATGTAACTTAGTATAATATTCTTAGCTAAAATTAAGAATATCCATTTGAAGAAGATTCATGAGTAGTGATGACTGTAGGAAAAGATCTTGTTGCATAGTTCAAATATAACTGAGAAATATTATCGAAGGGATGCTTCTAGTATTACTAGAGGCTAATATACCCTATAGGGTATTTTCTATCATATAAATATATGTACACATTTAGCAATCCGACTACCTTTTTGCAGACATTCTATTTATGATATTATCAAACATGGAAGGTAGTCAAGAATGCACTTTTTTTTTTACTAGTGTTAACAGAAAATGTTGTTTTCACTATGTGACATTTATATATTTTTTATCTTTTACTGATACATGTATGCATATATGTCAACTGATCTCCTGTTCGTTACAAACACAACACACTGTTGACATTTCTATTTTAAAAGATACTTGACATTTTTATATAAATAAATGGATGTTGGATATAAAATCATCCAACTGTCATACAAGTAAAGTATGCTAATATAAATAATTTACGGTAAAGGATAAATTAGATAAATTAATAATAAGATGTACGACGAATAAGATGTACAGTACAAGATAGATAAAATATTATTTATATGATGCAGAATTCAATTATCTCTACGACGACAATCTTGATGAGATATGGATGTTGTCTTTAGTCTAATTTTATCTTATATAAATATAAGACAAAAGTATAGACGTTGTTAAATCGAGATTTTTTTCCTTTTTCTGTTTTGTTTTTTTATTGAAAATGCACATACAACAAGTCGTAATGGCACCATGTGGAAGAGTGAAGTTTTAGTTATGTAGTGAAAATAAGATCTTTTAGAAAAAATCTTTCATTTTTTTTATATTCGAAATTCAAATTTATTTTCTAAAATAGAAACAAAAACCTGAAATTAGACACATTAACAGAAATAAATGAGCATAGAGAAAACAGTATCATTTTGTTTAATGGCTATAAAAGAGATTTTTAAAATAGTTTTCAACAATCTTTTTCCATCATCTTCAAACTAAATAAATTTTTTCTATATGATAAATTTGAAGAGTAAAAAAATTGCTACAAAAAGAAGCTGAGTGGCAGCGTCGTGGAAACAGAAGTGTACAAGAAAGGAGATAAAATTTTAAAGAATTTTGTCTTTAGGAGATAACCAAAACTTCGCTCTTTCACATGGTACTACTACGAGTTTTTATATCTGCCTTTTCAACGATAAAACAAAACAGAAAAAAGGAAAAAATCTCGATTTAACAATGTATATACTTTTGTCTTAGATTCATGAGATAAAATTAGACTAAAGACAACATCCATATCTCATCAAGATTGTCATTGTAGAGATAATTGATATCCTTCAAAGATGACCATCAGGCAATTTTTGTTGGCCTTCTGGTCCATCCTATATATATTCCATAGAAGGAATACTAAAAAAAATGAAAAAAAGCTCAAAATGTGCCGTTAATTGTTCAGAAAATCTTTGTTCGAAAAAAGAGAAAAATGTTTCACAGTTTCCTGTTATACGATACTGTTAATTACAAGAAAACTTCCCGCTCTTTTGTGTATACAGCAAACATTTTTTCGAGTAAACGTGAGATTTATTTCCGTTTTCATTATGAAACTGTTTTTATTTTCTTATGTATTCTAGAAAGATCAAATATCTTATATTTTTCTTCTAAATTAACCGTCATTTTACGGTAGTATGTGTGAAAAAATTGAACTTAAAAATTTTAGAAAATTTTTTTTTGTAATTTATTAAAATTTATTAAATAAATAAACTTTTCGAGGACTTCAGACAATGAATACTCACAGTAAATCACAGTATCGAATCATTTATCTGATATTATTGATTAAGCATAAAAATACAGAGTAACTATTACAAGTTTTTGATAATGCACAATTTGTTCCATTCTTTTTTTAGTACAAATAATTTTAGAAAGTAAAGTGTTCTCTAACAAGATTGAACAAAAGAAATGACTTTATTGCATTTACAAGATAAAGAACTAGTTTTCTATATCCACCTCACTTTATCGTTGTGCATGTATAGACACAACTTCTGTATATGAAAAAGGTGCACGAAGTATTAGAACGACTTTTTTATTTTTATTTTACAATTCTTGTTCTTGGTTATTCCTACTTTACTCGATGACAATAGTGGAATCTAATACATAGTTTTTGTTTATAAATTTTTAATCTATATGCTCAGTTTCTTTCTTTTAACACTTACGAATTTCTACGATCAGTCTCATCACTACTACTCAAACAAGAACGACATTACGTTTTATAACAAAGGGAACTAATCGATTGAATACGAAGATAAGATGTATTATTAGAGATAATTTAACTTAAATTAATTTACACATGAAAAGACAATAAATGTATGTACTTCTGAGAGGAATTTTTATTAAAAAATTGTCTATATTATAGTTTATTGTTGAAGTAACAGGACTTTTCTAAGTCAATGAGCGGTACATAGTTCGTTGTGGCTATATGAAATATGATAGATAGAAATTGAGGAAAAAAAATTTACTTCGAGCAACAATCAAACTCACATGACCTTTATTTA